ACACAAAGCAGCACAGCACCAGACTCTGAACGTGCAGCGCTCATGAAATCATAGCCTTTTGAAGTTTAATCGTCACATTCAGCCATATCGCAATTCTGGTCTTTCCAACCCCCAATTTAAGACCTCTTGAAATCATAATTAAGACTTTCTTGTACAATTTAAGACTTTTTAAGGCCTTAAATTTGATACAACTAAATTTAAGACTTTTTAAGACTTTTTTAAGACCCGCGGAAACTCTGTAATCATTCATTAATGTAAAATGTAAAATATAAGTGCACTACATTTGATTATATAGATTATATATGCTAAAATATATGTTGTAAACAGTGAAGCTTAATGAAATATATTCTTGTTAAAAATCTATTTAGTTTTCGCCTTCATATAACAAAATATATTTCAAAATGTATTTCAGGAGCAATAAAATAAATTTCCAGTCTTACAGTAGCCTACATTTAGGCTAAATGCAAATAGGGATGGAATTGCCTACTTGAGATCAAACCTAGATTTATGATTTAATAATGTTCATTTTTATGGTAATATAGTAATTTTGTGGAACATTTTTTTTTTATTATTCAAATATATGTTCACATGTGTTATAGACAACAAATAAACTTTTTCTTCAAATTTGAAACATCTGAATGTATTTTCTTGGATTGAAATATATGGAGGAAAAAATATATTTTTAAATTCTTTTAAAATATATTTTAATTTTTAACATACATTTTCAAAAATAAAAACACATTGGTAGAAGACATATTTACATATATTTTAAAACATGTTTTAGCAAATATATTTTTGGCCATTTTTTTATCATTTGAAATATCTGCAAATATATTGCACAATATATTGCACATTTTTTGGAATATACTTGTAATTTTTTTTTTTGCCAGATGGGATTTATATTAGTTTTATTAGCACTTACGGGTCATCTTGCTATCCTTGGGTAACTGCATCTTGTGTGTTTGACTGCTGCCTTCAAGACTGTATACAAAGCCCTTCACTTCTTTATCAAACACCTGTTAAAAAAGAGAAAATAAAATCAATGAAAAGACAGATATGCTTCAAATAATGCTCCGCAGTAGTATAACTTAGTTAATATATACCCACAATATCTCATGGGAGAAAAAAAAAACCTTGCAAGGACTTCTGCACATACTGTTGTGTTAAAGTTAGAAGCTATTTGGGCTGCATTCTTTAGTGGTGTTCGTGATATTGGTTAAATTCTTTTTTGCTGCTAGTCATATTATCTTTCAGGTAGATGAGAATGTAAAATGATAACCATCATCTAGTTCTATCTGAGATTATTTACAGGGCAGATTCAGCTATACAAACTGTGTCTCTAAGAATCTGTATTCCTTTTTACGCCAGTGCATACTGTATTTCTAAGGTTTTTCATCATTATTATCTCTAAGGTTTTCCTTTTCTTTTAACGTTTATTTCTGAAGGCCAGCTTCTTCATGACATGCCTTAGAGTCTTGGCTACAAAAACAATTGAACAGTTTCACCATTATTGCCCAGGAGATAAAGATACAGTTCATTGAACATGCTGACTTTGTGACAACATGCCCCATTAGTGCTGCATGTTGTGAACACTATGAGGTAAGTTGTCAAATGGGAGGCCTTCATTAAATTGCCTGTTATTGTCTTTTAAACTAAATTTAGAGGAAAAACTAGTATGAAACACAGCGAAATATGGCGATATTGAAATTTATATCGAATTATATATTGAATATTTTTTCTAAGACCAGTTAAAAACAACAATATCCCTTTTTCATTATAGTAAAATCTGTCATTAAACATACTTTAGTTATTGAAGATTTCCTGCCATATAGTTTCCATTTTGCCACAGGGTCTTTTCCTTGTGCGCTGAAGATGTCAACCGTTAGACCACCCTACACACACACACGCACACACACAATGAGAAACACTGAAAAGAATTGCAGATACTTAGCGAATGTTTAATGCTTACTGTACCTGATAATCGTTCCTGAACATTCTTCCAGACGATTGAGATATGAAAAAAGATTGAAATATGAAGGCTGCTTTATTCTGTCGAATTCGAAACGAACAAAAGATGATTCATAACCACTGCCGCACAATGACGGTTATATGGAACTATCAGGTAACTGTAGCAGTTGTTTTTATAATGTTAACTAACAGACTAGCGCAAAACATATTTTAACCACGTTCACCCAGCAAAACGAAAATCCAAAAGTCTCGGTCCGTTTAGTCATTTATTAGTTGTAAGAGCTATTTATTCATTAAAACACCTATGTTGGTTAGCCGATTAGCTAATACACAGGCAAGCACGGCGGTAGGTCGTTGCTATGGCAACGGGACGCTATCAGTTGGCAGTCTGATTGAGAATGCCATTTAATTCCAGTTCAAGCAAAATGTAATGCGAATTTAAATAAAACGTCAGTAGAACTTAAACAGAAAGAAATTCTAAGCAATATAATTGCTATGTGTAGTTTTATTCATATATTTGTTTAAGTATGAGTTGCCCATATCATTATCTATCTATCTATCTGTCGATCGGTCGGTCTGTCTGTTGAGAAATGTGAGAGGATAAATAAGGCTTCAAAATAGTCATGTTTCGTTGTTGAACGTCTGTTGGACTAATAAAACATACGATGATGACTGAACTGAATGTTTTTTAATTGAATCTTATATACGAAATGTAATTTCGATTTGAATTCTAATTCAACATCCTTTGGGGCATGATAGCCTATTTTAGAATTCAATTCAGTTACAGATTTGATGATGCATATATACCACACCTCGTATACAGTATGTAATTATATTATATATTATAACTTTTAACTGCCTAAAAGTATGTCCCATAATACTGAATGTTTACCATGTTCATGTACTATGGTATGTACTTAAAAATACCTTGACATTATGCCATGGTACCATGGCCTGTGCTAATTGTTAATTAACTTGATTTTATCTGAACTACTCTATGTCATGGTTACTATGCCTCTCTTCACTCATGCAGAATGTCTTAATATTGTAGACACAGAAAGCGGACTAGTGCATTTTGAATGACAGTGCAATTGCATGTGTTAGAAATAACATCTTCCTCAAAGTCTTGCAACACCTTAGACCCACTGCTTTAAGTGCATTGTGAATCATTCATCACTGTTGAATGGTGAATGTCAAATGCATGCGTTTTTGTAAGTCAGAGATTAAACTTTCAGTATTTTTCCTTGTGACTCTGGAGACCGGCATCAACAGAGAATTAGTATTCATTGTGCAATGTGCAAAAAAATGAAATATTATCTGTTGAGTTCCTATCCATGATAATTTGGAGAGAGAAGCGTGTCTTGCATTTGTGTGTGACAAAGGTTTAACTACTTTGAGCAGATGGTGGGTCTTTACATGCATTTCAATACTAATGATGCAGCAACTGCAAACTGCTCCCCAAATTGGATTTTGGATGGTTTTTAATAAGTCTATTACTAAGCAATGTAAATTAAGGCCATTGTCACTGAAGGTCAAATATGTAATTTGATGGCAGCTTGGAACATACCTGAATAGACACACTCATACAATCAATAAGCTAGCAACACTATTCAAAACCACAAAGGGTACCACTTCATAATGAATGCAGGCAATCTGTTAAATATTGAAAATTATTACCCAGTTTTCTGTAATTCCCTCAGTGATAGGTGACTGCTGAGCTGTCATTTCAGATCTAACAGAAATGCATTATGTAGCCCTATGGATGCAAACAGACATTTACATAATCTTCTGTCTAAATACATTTGCAGAGATCATATTAAGATTTTTACTGAATGCATACTGCACAATAAACTGTGCACTTATAATTACTGCTGTTGCCAGTGTTAATTTACATCAGCATATATGCATACAGTAAATAAAATTGTGCACTAAGTGAATTATCAGCTTGTTTTGATGTAGATGTGTTTACATAATGTTGAGTTGTTTATTCTGTAATTCATTTTTGCATATTGTTTTTTTATAATCTCAATATTGCTCAAATAATTTCATTTTTATGAACTATTCCTTTGAAAATAACTTGGCCTTTTTTAAACAAATGCATGCCTTTATTTAATGAAGCTATTTTTAATATAAGCACTTACAGTATAAAAGAAACTGTCTACTATGCAAAAATCTTATAGCTCATTGTTATCACTACATTTTCATATATATAGGAATGTAAAGGCCAACCTCCTTTTAAGTGTAAGTTTGATTTTATTACTTTGATAAAGCTGAAATGTCTCAGAAGGCCAACATTTTTCTATGTTGGGGTTATAATTTTCAGGACCACAAAAGGCAAAGATAACAAATGGACTTTAAATATCTCATTCACTGTAATGGTGATGAATCCAGTCTATTTGCTATTATTTTGCACTTAAGCATCTGTTGTTTTATCTTTGTATCTATTTAAACATGTCTCTTGAGGTTCAGTTGGCTGCTTGAGATGCAAACTGTATAAATATATCTAACTATGAAATATTGTCTTTGCTCTAGAGAATGGCCTCAGCAATTAACCTATAAACCATAGACTTTGTAACCATCATTCCACTGTCACGGAAATGTGACAGGAACTTCAAGATTTCTTTGTGTGGCAACAACTTGGAAACTTTTCCAAGTATACATGTAACAGCTTTTTTTTTCAAAGCAAAGCAATTATAGGGAAAATAATTGTGCTGTAAAACTATTTTACATTGTCCGTCCCTGGTGTAGAGAGAGTTTTTTCATGTGCCATACACACGTAAACAAGCTGCTAATAAACTGCAAATTATTCACTGACAGAAAGTCAAAAGGAGAGTGGCTCAACAGGGAAACAAGCCCCTTTGAACATTTAATGACTGTCTTGTTTTTCTGATTGAGGTGTGAAATGTTCCTCTAATTAAATGATGAGAAACTTATTTCAGACATCTGGTCCTGGTGACCTGTACGTAGAAAGTAACGTATTAGTCTTTTACAGTATATTTTCTTACATATCTTGAATTGTATTCAGAATTATTCTGGTTAGCAATTTCATGTGTCTGCTCCGGTACAAGCACAGGCACTGTAGGCATGGTAGCTTACGCAAAAAAATATTGCTGCAATTAGAATAAAAAATAATTTAATAAGTAATAATGCCTTGTTTCAACTTAAAAAAGTAAGTGTTCATGCTTGACTTGAAATTATAAGTTTAGTTCATTTTAAGTTCAGTAGTATCTCAACAAATTATGGCATACCATCCCAAAAGTTATAGTTAGGACCATAGGTGTTGGCAAAGGACTGCCTAGTCAATCACTGAATCATTATTTCAACCGATTCACTCTCAAACAGCAATTTATTCCGGAAAAGCCATCTATTACATTTCAATGAATCATTGAACCATTCACTCAACCGATTCATTCAAAAAGAAGTTTATTCAGGAACTACACCTATGTAGGAGTTTATTCTGCCTTGAATCTGGGACCATTTCTGTTGGAGGAGCAAATATTGTGACAATAATGTAAGTTAGTTATGTTATGGTAGTTATGTTAACAATAATTTATTTGATTGAATTGTTGTATAAAAGCAATTTGGCAATCGTCCTGTTGGTCTGAAAATCAAAAAGGCTACCTCATCGTTTGTACGGAACAACGCATTTAAAACGCCATTTCAACCCCATAGAATGGGATTTTGCATTCTACCGTGCTGCTTTATTGTTTTTCTAGGTAAACACTGTTTAGACTGACTTCCTTTATGGTCATGTCTCAGAGTAGTTTTTCGTGTCAAGTTAAGAAGATGTTGAAAACGCTTCTCAAGACCATCAGCTTCTTCAAAATCCCTTCTAGCGTTTTCTAAAATTATTAACCAGTATAAACACACAAGTTAAGAAGATAACACTACTATACAGTATTTTACTAGGCCTACGTGATATACTACTTATATACTTATTACTCAGTGGTCACTTTCAAAGCTTTGTATTGGTAAAAACTTTAAAAGTGTTCAAATTGAACAAACTTGAATCCAAAGTGGGGAAAGTGTTACGTCAAGCATCACTTACGCAAAATTCCCAATCGTGTCGGTTTCTGTTGACACGGCGGATAATCGCCACACAAATGTAAATGTGACTTTTATTGTACTAATTTGTTTCCAAGTGTAGAAGTTCAGTTGAAAACTGCATGTTATAAAGGAAACTCAGATCTTGAGACTCACGTAGTGCTGCTGCTAACTAGTATTAATGAGACGCTCTTCTACATCACATCTCTTCTGATTCCTGAAGCATACATTGTTCCTCTTTATCAAAAACGACCTAGTTATGTCTGGACGTCTTATAGAGGAAAAGATAATCAGGATACTCTGTTTTATATGGCATGTGATATGCTCGTATTGATTTAGCTTTGTTCTAAATTCAAATTAAAAGCACAAGATAAAAGCTCTAATATTACAGCAGAAAATGCATTGTGAAACCCCATTCATTTGTAATATCCTTATTCTTGGTCTTCTTTAAATAAATATGAGCATGTGTTGGTACGCCTACTGGTAAGGGAGCTGCAGATCTTCTTTTCTGCAAATGTCAAAGGTTCAGTCGAGTGGAGTGAAACTCAGAGGCCAAAATACATTAGAAAGCTCTCTAAGCAATCTGCCTTGACATGCAATGTTAGTGGCCCTGCCATGAATTGTGACACATGTCATGGACATTGTTGCTCACTGAGTGAGTGTGTGATATTTCTTTGTTATGACAATACCATTACCGCATGTCCAAAAGCATGAGCTGTGGAGGGCTTATGGAAAAGTGTTCTGATATTTCTGTGGATGTCTTTTACACAGCCTAGGGTTGTTACAGACTGATAGGCTGCTATAATGAAAGTGAATAAATCCAAAATGACAAATAGGAACATGGCATTTTATTTTACAGGGCATTGCAATGCAGCCAATAAGGTGTCTTGAGAGGCTTTTCAGCATGTTGCTATGTAGTTTCTAGGGTGTTTTCGAGGAAGTGAAAGGAGGATAATAACTAACATTTGTTATTGTACACGTTT